AACAAACAGAGGATCTACACATCATTGTTTCAGAGACAAAGAGTCTTCTCAAGGAAAAGTGTGCTACGACACGAGGGATGTCACTGCCCGAACAAGGACTGGCCCAGAGCTACTGTTCCCAACATCAGCCACAGCAGCAGGAAGAAAGTTTAACATTTACATAAAAACACAATGAGCTCATAATGTTGTTTGGCAATTAGTTTTGGTACATTTTTATCCTGTGCACAGTTTTACATCAAAACTCCTTATTTTTAAAATAGAAAAGTCATGCCACAGTGATTGAGTCAGCTGTCAGTATCAGCTATATTCACACAAAAAAATTAAAGTGAGTTGGAGAGAAAGTAAAATGTGTCCAGGATTACAGCCAATGACCAAGTCCACAATGTCCTGGCTGCACCGCTGGCGATCAAATGACTGGTTTCATATTTGCCTATAACAGTCAGGGCTCGTTGCTTTTGTTGGGAGTAGGGACAATGTGTTACAGAAACTGTCAAAGCCAGTGATATGGGAAAAATTTTACTGTTTTAATGTGTTAATTTTGTGAGTTAAAAAAGGAAAACTCTTACAAGAAAAGAAAAAACACTGACATTAAAGGGACAGGTGAGCAAGAGGATTGTCTTGCTGGAATAAGAGCAAAAATGTACGCTCACTGTAAAACTTAGACCTGTAACTGCAAGTTTTAGTAATTTTTCTTGCTGGACATTCAACAATCCACAATAGAATTGCTGAACAGTTATTTGTCCTTCATTGAGCATGTCCTCATGTTGCCTGTGGCAGATTTTTTAAATTATTAACTCTAATTAGATACAGAATGACCACGTTTTACAACATGTTCAGCATAACATTTTTGTATTACAATAATATCTTATCAGCCAGCAGTTAAACATCAAACCCACGTTCAAACACAGAGAACATATGTCTAGACATATGGCTGAAGGAGATTACATCAGTTATTTCTAACAGGAGGATGAACTTGGAGACACCGCACTTCCTGACCATTTCCCTACAGACCTTAAAAACTGGTATAATGTTTCAAAAGACTGGGAACCAAAGACGTTCTGAAAGAGCAGACAGTGAATCTGATGCCTCTTGTGGACTTTGACAGAGGGAAGACATCATCAGCACTGTGCTGTGTCAGCTGTGAGCACAGATAAATCGCTTGGATGGATTAAAAATACAGTTTAAGAGAAACAATGACATGGCATGAGTGTACAGACCAGTGCAGATTAGAGATATAAGGCTTAAGCAGATGATAAATCAGAAGAGGCTTTACAACTCTGTAAAAAAATCCTGCAGCATTTCCATTACAGCTCAGGGGGTGCCTTGACTTTGTGCTGAGGACACCCAGTTTTTTTTGTGCAAGATCTACAGCAGTTAGTCAAAAAATAAGATGAGACTTGAGTCTCATTGTGTTCCATCTTAATTAGAGAGAAGTGTAGTGGCCACACATTTCACCATCAGAGCTGAGCTGTACAGGAAATGACATGGCTCTAACATTCTTGGCTATGCAGGAGGGAAGGTGTGCAATAGCAGGGCAAGAATGCATTTGTTTGCCTCACGTCAAGACAATGAGGCATAGTTTCAGTACAGCAACATGTTTCAAGCTAGACTGCATGAGAAAAGGAATGTGCTTGGTATATCAGCAACTGTGACAAGCCCAAGGCAAATCAAGCATTTGTTAGTGAAGACCTCTGCCCTCAAATCCTGCAAATAAAACGTAAACTGAGCCCTCGGTTTCTAATAATAGCCATTGATTTGTAGGTAGCACTCGTGACTTGTGCAAAGTCAGTAGTGAAAACTGGAAAGCATCAATCCTCCATTACAGTTGTGTGCACCCTCAGAGACACAACAAAGCGTAGTCAATAGGCTGTCTGACACGTGTGACATCTCTGTGCTCCCTACTGTGAATCAAATGCACTGAAACATACGAGACAGCACAATATCACAAGACATGGCACGCTGTGAAATTAAATAATAATAAAAGTGCATATGACTGAATAATACCAAATGTCCGAATCTTCATTTTTAAGTAAATCTTTAATCCGAGACGGAAAGGGGTTTATTTTACACAGTATCGCCTAGCAACAGTGCGTTGCTAAGGCAGTCCAACCTGCAGGACTGGACTGTGACTTGAGCTCTCGTCTCGATGCCTTTTCACCCCATGTCTTTCCTCTTTACTACTCCAGTGACAGCCCACGATCACATTCATGTGGCGTGTGTCCTGTGACTATATGTCTTATTTGTCTGCGCGAAGTGACGTGGCAGGCTGAAAGTTTTGCTCCTGGGTTTCTCGTGTTTCTCGGCGGACAAAAACATGTCATAACAGCAGGCGTGTTGGCGATCACTCGCTACTCAACAGGAGTCCCGATGCGCGACAGTGCTCACATGCCCTACCTTACAAGATACAAGTTTGCCGTGGAAATATTTTTAGTACAGTGAACAGTACCTTCATACACGAGTGCACGCTACTAAGTAACTTAAGCTAATTAGTCAAGTCTATGAGTCAAGTCAAGCAGCTAAGTCCTATCAGTTAGCCGCTTGACATGGCTAGGCATGTTTAGCAAAATTAGCATCGGTCAAATTACCGAGTACTCTCATGTCTGCGCAAATGTTAGAATAAACAAATACTTACTTTTATGTCTTCCGGAAGCCCATGACTGTTTAGCGATACTAGGACTTCGTATAATTGCCCTCCCGGCAGATTTCAAAGCGTCCATGTCCAAAAAGTGGTGGGAAAAGCCCGACTACTGCGCATAAGACTCCGTGAAAACACTTCAGCCTAGGTTTAACAATCCACTGTACACTGAAACTTTCTTCAGCCTCCCTGTACACGGTTAGTTTTCAATCGATAGCAGATCATCATGTTCGTCCCTCTGGGCGGTGTTATGTATGTAAATGAGCCAGAGACTGCTCCCGCGGAAGAGCCATACAGTCTATTGAAGAACGTGTCAGGCAGCGGCGCGCTCATCAGGAGGTGAAACCCTGTACTACACTTATAATCCAGGAGCAGTGTTGGGAAGGTTACTTTTAAAATGTAATCCCCTACAGATTACAGATTACACACCCCAAAATGTAGTTTGTAACGTAATCCATTAAATTACTTAAAGTGAGTAACGTAATCTGATTACTTTGGATTACTTGATATTGTCATGTTTTTTTAAACGACATGAATGTAGCAACCACATCCTGAAAATTCTTGTTTGTTGTCTTCAAATTGTCTGAGCCCAAGTCTCCATGAATAAGCAACTGTTTGCTGTAGAGAAACAAAGACCATGATATCTTAATATAAGAGGTTTTGTCTGTTAAAAGACAGTAACAAGATCAGCTTTGCTTCACCATATTAAAAATATTATTGATAGAGAACTAATTTTTTATATGAGATCACCTTAAATTATGTCAACCTACTGTTAGGTGTCATGTTGTTTAGACCTGGTTTAGTCCTGGTTTAGTCCTGATTTTTAGACCTGGTTTACTCCTGATTTTAGACCTGGTCTAGACCAGGTCTTTAGTTCTGGTTTAGTCGTGGTTTAGTCCTATTTTAAACCTGGTTCAGTCCTGCTTTAGTCCTGGTTTAGTCCTGGATTAGTTCTGGTATAGTGCTGGTGTTAGTTCTGGTTTAGAGGCGCACAGGAGGAAGCGCGGTTTACGCGAGAAAACACGGTCCACACGCGGCGCACGAGACTGCGGTGTCCGCGCAGTAACTACGGAAGGAGACGTGGTCCGCGGGTTCTCAGGTTGATGACGATGATGAAGGTGTGTGTTTGTGTGTTTGTGTTTGTATGTGTGTGTGTGTGTGTCCACTCATGTCGCAGGTCATTATAGGACAGTAGTGCAGATATTATGAGTCTATGCAGGTTGTTTTCACCAGTGCCAGTAGCTCCTGTTTCACATTTAAGTTGTAGGCGATTTTATATTTGTTTTTTGTTTTTTATATATATCTCACATCGGGAGAAGAATTTCCAAGACACAAATGCGTTTTTACCAATGCACTGCTGCTTCCACTGTGTGACTGACACCGCCAACTTTAATATGACGTTTACATCGGTCTTATTGCGCGCGTTCTGTTTGGGTTTCCGGCAATGAGTGAAATTACCGAAATAAAAAAATAAATAAATGCGAGGTAGCACAAAATGTGAAAACAGGAAAATACCGCCTTGTAATCCACTTATTTCAGCAAAGTAACTGTAATCCAATTACCACTCATTGAAACAGTAACTGTAACGGAATACAGTTACTCATAATTTGTACTCTGATTACGTAACGGCGGTACATGTAATCCGTTACTCCCCAACACTGTCCAGGAGGTGAAACACTCTACAACACTTATATTCACAGTCACCACATTTTGTCAGAAGTCATTAAGTAGTCACATCACGATCCATAATTACACCCCCATGCTTAATTTAATCAAAACCCTGTTCTCTTCAGAGTGCAGTCAGTGCACAAATTGTTTGGTCATTTTGGAAATGATCGGAGTGGACACGGCTTGTTCGTGCTCTTGCGAATTTATTTAGAGTAGACTTACTCCAATCAATACATGTCCTCTAAATTTGTAGGCTATTGACACTGACCATGAGGCAGCCGAGCAAGTTTTATGGCGTGTTTGATGGTTCAGCTGGTGTACGATATGCAAAGTGGTCACATAGGAAATAGTTATGGCAACTATGGTATTTAAGCTTTTAAGAATATTAGAAAAAAAAAAATACTAACGTGTAGCCTATTGTTATAGCACTGACGGCACCAAATCTAAACCCATCAAAATCAGTTTGAACCACACGAATCGTTTACATTTGTTGAAAACATATTTTGCTGCAGCTTACATTTATTTCTTCTTCATTATACCAATTTAAGAGTTGGACATTTTATTTCAGTGTTGAACACTGCCTCCCAGTGGAAATCTTAGCTATGCACATCCATCAATCTTGAGGGCACAACGCACAAAGTAGTCGAACTTGTTAGCTGAACTAGATAATTGAACTCAAACTCACAAGCTGAGAGTGTCAGTTGCGAGAAAAAATGTTTATTCTTTGTAAACCTCACAGAGCGAGAGCGCAGCCAAGGTCAAACCTGGGGATAAACAGAGCAGTGACTGTGGCATAGAAACCAAAAAAAAAACCAAAAAAAAACTTGCAGTTTGCAAAACAACTGACTAAATTTCCGTTACAGTTTTAGTATAGCCAATGACAGCGATCTGAGCAATAAAGCTTCTCAAAATACAGAATGTGACTATCACGCACACACACAATATCCATTTTAGATAATGAAACCACATCAGATTCAGAGAATCTCTCCCCACAGGAACTGACAAATACCAGGCTTAAGGAAAACCGCCTAACAGTTGCAAATACTGTAACATTCACAAAAGAATTGAATTGATTTTCTAATCTTCCCTTTCAACTAGAGTCTACTACAAACAGGTGACCATTTTATCTACCTGCTTAACACAAACTTCTATTAAGTGATATTAAGAGGACCTGTCAGCCAATGTATTTGCAGTACATTCTTTAACACATAGAAGGAATCCTTGGCACACAAACTAAGTGGAATATTAAATATAAAATAACTTAAACTGAATTAAGTTACCTGTTCCAAAGCTTTGATCTGTTGACATTGCACAGTCCATCTAAATAGTTTTCCCTTTGCTTTTGTTGATATGGCCAGTTTAATATAACCAACAAAATGGGCTGCAGCCAAAGTAAAAATTTGGTTCCATCAGCATTCAGTAGTAAAAATGACTAAAAGGGCATCTTTTGAACAGTCATTTGGCATGTTCTTGGGAACGTGAAAATGTAGGGGAAAAAAAAAAAGAAATCTTATATATTGTTATCGATTGTAACTGAATTTGAATAGCAGTCCTCATGTCCACTTAACATGTCTGATTGCTACCACAAAAATGGGGGGAAAAAAACTAAAGGCAACTTGTCACACTTTTGGAGGCTGTTCATATGGGTTGTGTCATCTTTAACTCACACATTAAATCTTAAATGAAGGCACTGAGATCATGACAACTGAAATGGTTTTGTTAAATAACATTACTGCTGATATTGGGAACACTCAACCTCGTGTTCAAAGACAGTTTATGTCACAATGATTTCATTGATGACAGATTCTCAAAACAACACATTTTTCTAAATTTCCATTAGATTTGCTTCTGATTTTGAATGAGATTGAACAGAAATTTGTGCCAACTTTGCAATACATTCCACATTTTGCATATGTTAGGATTTTCAAAATAAGTGTGTGGTGGAGAAATAATATTTTCACAAAATGAAGCAGCTCTTCCCCAGGACCAAACAGCAAGTAACTGGTAGCAGGTAGTTGCACTGACAGTGGAAAATGCAGAGCAACACCTTAATAATAAGAGTTACATACCCGATTCTGTGAGGTTTCACTAGACATTTAAGAGAAAAAGAAACCTGGGGCATCCTAGTTGAGAACTGATGTCCATTTAAGTTTTTTGTCTTTTGTTTTAACTACAACAAATACAGTCACACAATACAACATCCTTCTGACCTGGCATGGTAAAAACAAAACCCAAGAGAAACATTCTCAGCTGCAGACATGCCGAGCAGATTGAAAGTGGTGGGCCTGGTTGAAAATAAAGAGAATGGATGAAAGGAGGAGGCTGGGAGAAGCGTTCACTTTTTCAGTGGCTGGTAAACAGAGGCATTGGGGTCCAGGCCGGAGGAGTTGGTGTCCATGAATTTGGAGGAGTAGTGGGGGGCCACAGGGGTCATGCTGCTGGTGTCGGCTGCGTAGGAGATGCTGGGCATCACAGCCATGACTTCGGCTATCTTTTGCTTTAGATCTTTTATTTCCTGGTCTTTTTGTAAAATTTGGCCTAAAAAAGAACATTTTTGTTAAGCATGAGCCACAGTTGTACACAAACAAGGTGCTACAGTTCTCTGTGTACAGACCTTGTGCGATCTCCAGCTGTCTCTTGGCATCTCCAAGTGCAGAGAAGAGGTCTAGTTTGATCCTGGTCTCTGCACTCAGGCTGTTTTCTAGGTGCTGCGTTTTGTCCTGCATGGCTGACAGTGCTGACATAAGTACCTCTGTGTCCTTTTCATTCTCTTTATATTTATGAAGTTCCTGGAAAAGAAAAACGTCACTAATTACTTGATGAAGCAGACATACAAGATATACAACCATTGCACAGTTACTTATTATAGCTTATAGACAAAAATTAGGAATCAAATCAAACTATTGCAAATTTTATGTAAATGTACCTGCACTTTTAACTCTAGATCTCGGATCTGGTCTTCTTTAACTTTTATATCCATAGTGAGCTTCTTGCACTCTGTTTCTAATTCTGTGACTCGCCTTCGCAATGTGTCTGTGCACTCTCCTCTGAAAGCAAAGAGTGCAGTTAAATACTGAAACTACAGACATTGTAACATATACAGACCCTGAGCACCAAAAAGGAAACAAAAGAATGATTAATAGGCCAAATCAGACACCTGGATGCAGCTGCTAGTGCTACTGCCCGCGCTGCTGTGGCTTCTTCCAGTTTTTTGCGTTTCTTTTCTTCTGCGAGCTGCTTCTCAGCTGTAGCTCGCGCCTCCTGTTCTGCTTTGAGCTTCTTCTCCAGTTGGCCCACTGTCTGTTTGTCTTTTTGCTTTGCCTGCACAGCATTATGAAGCCTGGAAGCACAAACACATGTCCCTATGAGGATATAATATGTGCAGAAAATAATTTTCTGTTTATCGCCTGTATTCCATCCAGACTATGCTATGGCATTATACATTTGTTTGGTGTTGGATAATGAAAACTGTTTTGCACTAAAGGGTCAAGAATAAAAACCGTAAAGTACAGTACAGTAAGTATAAATGCTTGATTGCCATTGTCCGAAGGGCTGTAATCAATCAATCAAGTAAAAAGCTCTCAAAGAGACCATGTATCAGGCACAAACTTACAGCAACACCAGCTCACGGAAGGTTTAGAAAAAACAACTATGTATACAGTACAGCAACAGCAGCTTCTCCTACAAGACATTTGCCATTTCATGATCAAAGCATTAAATAGAGCTCTGCCAAACATGCTGGTCCTCTTGACACTGAAGTTGCGTACTCAGCAGTCAGTGAGCACAACCATTTGATGAGGGAGTGCATCACAACATCACACTTGTATCGAGAAGAGTTTAAAGCCTTTCCGGACAGAGAATCTGGTTGGCAAAGTGTGAAAGAGCCAGACTCATGCATGCATATGGTTACATTAACTTGTGCAATAGGACACAATAACATTGAGACCAAAGCAGGGAAAGACAATCTCTGATTTGCTTTCATCAATAAAAAAGGAAAAAGGAGCATCAATATTCAAGGCAGAGGTGAAGCTTTGAGGGAAACCCAGATACAGGGACAGAAGCTAGTCTACAGGGGAATTACTTCCACAAAGTGCAGAAACACGTAACAAATATTTCGCAAATATATTCCAAAACTTCAGAATGGAATAGACTACAGCTATGTCCCTACTTGCAACCTTTTAAAAATTTGTTTGAAGTTAAATTAACTGAACTGAGCTGTTCAAAGACTTATATGTGTCTGGAGCTCTTGGCTGGAAAAAGGACGTCTGAAAACCAAACATACTCAAATAGAGCCTTGATAGATATTCTCTAGTCCTGTTGACCATTAATTCTCAGGGTATTTCCACTTGAAAGAGCAGTGAAATGTTCCAGTGGGTCATTGATCTTCTGTCCCCAGCTGTGTTGCTACATATCACTCACTTGTTCTGCAGCAGCTCATTCTCCTGGCGCAGTTGGCTCAGCTCAGTGCGCACAGAACGCTCTGCACTACCCAAAGAGCCAATCTGGCTGCGGAGGTCCTGCTCCACTTGGCGGCTGGCTTGCAAGTCTGCCTTTAATTTCTTAACATCCTGCTCCAATCTAAAAGGAATACAACAACACACAAACAGTGATGTCAAAATGTTCAGTTGTTGGAACAAGTACAGTGAGTAGAAACATCAATCGACAATAACTGAAAGCATAAACAAGATTACAATGAAACAGTTAATTTACAAAGTTCATCATCAGTATGGTCAATATGTGACCAACTTTATGAAGTGCACCTTAAAGCCTTAAACCGTAAACCTTAAACTGTAAATCCAAAAAGCACTTCATTCACAGAGCACGTTACCATTCACCAGGATTACATCACAAGAACAAGTCTAAGACCATCAGACATTTAACTTATGTACCTGCGCCCGTGAATGCTGGTCGGCTGGACTTACCTGACAAGTGCTTCTGGTTTGCTCAGCTGGTTGTTGGGAATACAATTGTCTGTGGGGTCCCTGTGGGAGCCTCCAGCAGCTGCCTTCCCCACTGTCAGCTTGTGCTTTTTCTCGTTCTTCCCCGCGGACGACGAGGATGACGGCGTACAGGAGGGTACACTGCCATTGGTGGCACTATGGCCGCGGGGTGAGGAGTTAGCCGCATTGTTGCTAGCATTTTTGAAGTTTTTAGAGGAGGAGGAAGAAGAGGAAGAGCATGAAGAGTTGTTGTCCTCTTTAAGCAGCAGATTTTCAGTGCTGCCCAGGTCTGCGGTGAGTCTCTTGTTGTTCATATGGTTCTCCATATATTCCATTTCTTGGAGTTTAGAGTCCACAGATGATGGGAGGATGCTGTTGTGTTGCTTTTTATTGTCCCCGACACCCTTTCCTTCTTTCCCTTTTTCTCTATATTCTAGCTCTGGCAGTGACGCTGCTGTCTTTTTATTGGCAGGGGTGCCATTCTGTGACACTGGAGCAGTATCCACCTCAGACAATCCTTTAACAGCTGCTGCAAAGGAGAAACCTCAAAATCAGAAATGACTTCCAAATATAGAATTAAAAAGTAAAATGAAAACAAGGATAGAAAAGGAGTACCTTCCTCTGCTTCTCGCTCTTGTCTCTGGTGCATTTGTTGCTCTGGAGGTAGAGCTTGTTGTAATAGCTGCATGTAAAATTCGTTCTCTTTTTGAACCTCCTTTTGTTTCCGGAGGCGCATCTTATAACTTACGTAGCTCTTGAAGCCGAAGCCCAGTGTAACTACAGGATAACCAATGCTACAGAACAAAGCACAAAAAAATCCACCCAATGAATTCCATCAAAAATCAATGTCAACTTTTTTTTTTTTTTTTTAAAGGGACTGCATTTTTGTATTGTTAAATTTTTTATAGACCACAAACAATTGTCTCACCAGTGTGCAGCAAAGGGACGACACAAGTCCACATGGAAGTTCTTCAAGTCTTTGAATCTTATGGCTGCCTCTATGTAAACAAATAGTATCCATAGAGACACCGTTGGCAGACAGACACCTCTCTCTATAAAAATAAGGGGTGAATATATTGATTATTCAGCAGGTACTTTTTTCCAGCATATCTGAATGTTGCTTTATCAGTAGTCTAGTAATACAATAAATATGAATGGCATTTCATGTCTTTCCTTGCCCTGTAATCTCCTTTAGGACATCCCAGCTGTCAAGTGTCATATGTCATATTTCATAGAACATACCATTGTGGTTAATGGCTTCACTGTTGGGTGGGTAATGGAAAGTCTGAATTTGGATTCAGTCCCTAACTTTCTGGGCAGCCCTTTCAGAAACACATTTCACAGTGCGGCTAGGCTTCTTTTAAGGAGTGGGTTCATTTCAAATTTGAGATCCTCCAAATGGCAGCAGGATTATAATCTGACACCTGGCTTTTGGTCAACACAGGGGCCTAGCCACTAAATCAGACTGACAACCAGTGCTCACCAGTATTAACTTACAGGAGTCACTGCAGCACACTAAGATGTTACAACTGCTGATTCACAACAATTAATTAAACACAGTATTTTAGTAAAAAGTACACCATCAATAATAGTAATTTATGCTTATTATTTAGGGTTGATCAATTATATCCAAAATCAGATCATAATCATAAATTATTTGGCTCATATTGTAACTGAAAACACAATAAACTGTCAAATACTGTCATTTATTTATTAGTAATATTTTGTCTCACTTTTGTTTCCAAAGTCATTATTTTATGACAATTTGCAAAACTTGCAAAACAAGCGCTCATGTTATTCTGAATATGACTTCTCAATAAACAGAACAGGTTAGATCCAGTATGAGATGTGAATGTGTGCAAGTGTTAGGATTCCCTCTGATAAATTACTTCTCTAACCTCCCTGCTATAATTTTTTTTTTTTTTTTTATATAATTCTGAATTTTGATAATAATGGTGTTAATGTTTGATAATGACAATTCTGAATGCCAAATTATACTGGAACAAAGTTGAACACATTCTATCTGTGGGAGATTTATTTAAATTCATGTATTGTACTGCGGTGACTGACTCACCTGTATGCCAAACATACTGGACCCAAACATAAGTACTGGCGGCGAAGAACAGCCATTGCACTGGGATGAAGAGGAGGCAAATGATGTCCGAGGTAAATGCCACACACACAAAGAATACTGAAAATGCCTGTTAGAAAAAAAGAAACAATTTGAGCATAATTGTAATACAACAACTGAAGGTGATCAAAGTGTGCAGCCTGTGGCTATAATGTGACATATTTACATATGATACATATGTAAATAAGAAGGAATTGTGTGTGGGAAGGGAAGTTTGGGCCTGCTGTCTCTGCGACCCAGTCCCAGATAAAGCGGAAGAAAATGGACTTATAAGTATGTACTCTCCCTTTTCCAAAGAAACAAACAAATAAAATTGACTGATAATACATACTAGATTCAAAATCATAGTCAAAAACTATGGTAAAATTTAGAGGGGGTTAGCAACAAAGCAGTTTTGTTTAACTGTTTACAACTACTCACCAGGCCCTGGTATCTGAAGGAGTCATATACACTGCGGATGAAGAGCCAGAAAGGCCAAAGATACTCAAATCTAAACTCCAATACAAAGTCTGCCAGTAGTACTAGCGCCCACACCAACAGAAACTTCAAGTACAGGAAGGTACTGAAAAGACAGAAGAATTTGTACACTTTTAGCATTATTCTCATTTTTCTACAATAATTGTTTATATTGTCTATTGATTTACAAACATATCATGCATTTGTTAAAGACAGATAGTATTTGATGTGTTTGGCTGGTGTTTGCTGAGAGACAATCAAACACACACTATTCAGTGGCAGCTGACATTTTTCCCAACAGGGCACTAACACTGAAAGGAACTGCATGGGGTCTTCTGAACTCTGGCATCCAGAGCAAATCGTTTAGTGATGAAGGCACCTGTTCAATAATTCAGAGACCCCTTCACATCTCGATGCCACACATAAAAAGTGGCCTTTCACATTTAGGGTGTCAGGTAAGACGTGTCATACTGGGCCTTCACCGGTACAAGAGCAAAGTATGGCATAGAAAAATGTGTTTAAACCACAGACATTATTATTATTATTATTAGTAGTAGTAGTAATATTATTATTATTATACCAATATTAATGTTAATGTTAATATTAATAAATACGGTGGTACATCAGTTTTAGTTACATAGTAAATAGTAAATATAACAGTTAAATAGAGCATGTAAAAAGGTAAAGAGTCCTCCTAGGTTAGCTGCCGTAAAGTTACCTGATGTTAGCCTGGACGGTGCGAAGGCTAGATGCCAATTCACATGTTGTTCGACAAGTGTACTTTGTTGTCAAACATATAATAGGCGACCATTTTCTCTGAGACTGTAATTTTTTAGTTAAGTGGGGTCTCTGGTGTTCAAGTAGCTTCACTCACAGTTAGCCTTGAAGCTAACGACACCTTACAATGCTAACAAAAACATAAGGGGTTTAGCACACAGCTGTAAACCTAGCAGCTAACACAGCTAACTTCACAAGCTACATAGCTGTCGCTTTCATTGCTATGTATTCTTTGCAGGAGATATTCTGTACTTGTATCACACCTTTGGCTGATTTTCTGCAATGGCTATCTCGAGTTTAGCGTCCTAGTCAGAGGCTTGATCCATCTCCTAAATGTACGGTACCTGCCGTAGATGCCCTCGGTGATTCGGTTCCGTTTTATCGGCCGCCGGAGTTTGCTGCAGTCCGCATTGCGCCGCTTCATCCTCCTCCTCTTGGCTTTGGCCTTCGAGCACCCACTGTAATCTTATCCAGTTTTCTTGTGAGTACGAACAAAGATTATAAATGAAGTTCTGTGGTATGCTGTTGTTATTATTTCTTCACTGAAAACAAAGAAATAAATAAAGGAGTCTCTTCGGGAACCTCCTCTTTTACAGTTAGCGCAGGCTCAATGGATCCAACGGCGCTGTTTCACGTAGGTTCGGTTGTCAGACGGCTGGTAGAACCAATCAATCGATTCACCGAGGCCTTTTCTGTTGACTGATTTCCAGAAGGACCATTTACATCGCTTTCTGGTCGCTCGTTCAGCCTCCAAAGCCCGAAGACATGACGGGAGAAAGCGCAGTGAAGGCCCGCCCCGAGTAAAGACTCTCACTTAAACCAATGAGATCGTTTGTGGACAAATCGGGCTCCACCGACGGGCCAATGCAGTCAACACGGAGGAGGGACAGTAGATTTTGCATTTTGGGCTCAGGGCTTCTTTAAAGAATAATTAAATGCTATTAAGTGAATAAAATAAATTATGAGAGAATTATGTTGGGTTTGCTCACTTCTAACAGTTAGGCATGTCCACGTTTCCAGATTAAGTCCCACTACAAACAAATAAACGAATAAACAACATTTTTTATTATAATAATGATAAAATAATAATAATAATCCAAACAATGTTATTATATCACTAATAACAGATTATGATTATGACTATATAGACCTATTTATGCCAACATTATTTCAAAAATCAATTCACCAAACTAAGCCAAGAAGTTAATACGCTGACCTGTTACTTTAGTACTGCTGTTGTCTTTGCACTGGACCTCTCCCCACGTACCGAAGATCTGCTAGTGTGAGTTTGATTGTACGGCACATCAGTAGGCTACTATGGCTCCACAATATGCACCAAGTTTGCGCTTTCGTCTGGCACCCATATTACTTTTAATTCAAATATTTTTTATAGCTATATTTGCCTGTTATTTCGAGATTGACAGTCAAATAAAAGCACGAGATGGAACTGCCTTTAACACCTTTTATCCAGGTGAGTAAGCTTTTCACGTTGGCTATTTTTTCACTATTTTTTCATCTCTAATTTTTATAAGAGCATCTGTGATCAGAGCAACTTTCTGAAGAGCAAATTAAGCTATGCATCTTATAGATTTAGGCTATATAGCCTCTACTTTTTATTTAGCACATATGCTTGTGCTTAAGATCCTTAAGATGGGAGGGGTAACCGTCATTGGCCTACTGTTGGGTACAGATAAGGGTCACTGTACTGTCCCAGGAGCATATAAACATTATAGTCACTTAACAGCACTTTCAAATGCAATATATCTATAATTTAATGTATATGTTTCTAATCATGTTTTCTTTCAGAGTTCCAAGACGTGAATGTTATGGTGATTCTGGGTTTTGGCTTTTTGGGTACATTTCTTGTGAGATATGGATTCAGCAGCACAGGGTTCAACCTCCTCGTGGCAGTGTTGGCAGTCCAGTGGGCTCTGATACTCAACGGTTTGGAGTCCTGGTATTACAGAGGGAAGATCGTGATTAATTTAAGAAGGTTAGCCCCAGGCAATGCATAAAACAACAGTTAATGATCACATGGTGACAAATGAGCATGCATTAAAATGTTTTGGTGTTTGTCAGCTTGGTTTATGCAGAGATCTGCGCAGTGCCTGCTCTCATTTCAATTGGGACCATCTTGGGAAAGACAAACCCTGTCCATCTTACCCTAATTGCTCTTTTTGAAGTGTCAGGATTTGTTCTTAATGATTGGCTGCTGCACATTATTACAAAGGTATTCAACATTAACTATATTCTTTTAATGTGAGCTTTAAAAAAACAAGTCCAGATGACTACTTTTTAAAACCTTTGTTACCACAAGTGTTGAATACATACTGACATGCACTTTATTTTAGGTCCGGCCCTTGAACAGCATTATGCTGCTGCACATATATGGAGCCTTTTTTGGCCTCATGTTAACCTGGTTTCTGTATAGAAAAGGATCAGAGCAGCTATTTGAGAAAGAGAAACTCTCTCATACATCAGGACTGTTCTCCATGCTGGGTTTGTACTTTTATAGTTTATAGTATTAGAGGATATATCATGCTTATAATCTTATTCTTCCATGGCATATTAACTTCAGTGTCCCCATTCACCAACCAGAGGTGAAGCATCCTCAATAAACACCAATTGTTTGTTTGTTCTTCAGGAACTCTGTTTCTGTGGATGTTTTGGCCCACATTTAATTCAGTGCTAGTGGACAATTATCCACGTGGGAGAAAATTTGAGGCAGTGTGCAGCACCTACTTGTCTTTGGCTGTCAGCGCAGTAACTGCTGCTGCTGTGTCTGTGGTGACGAGTCCTAAAGGGAAACTCAACCTAGTATGACACAAATTGTTATCGTCACTTTTGAGATATACTGTATAATAAACACACTATCCCTTTAAGGTCCAGATCCAGTCAAGTATACTTGCTGGTGGTGTTGTCATTGGAGTGGCTATGCCAGTTGTTCACAAACCATGGGAAGCCATGACTTTAGGATTTCTTGCAGCAGTTTTATCAACCATTGGGTACAAATATCTGAAGGTACTGTTAAAAAAATAACATGCAAACTCTAACTGAATTGATTTCTACGCTCACATCTGTCTGTATGTTTTAGAACCACATGGTTGCTGTATTCCAGTGCCATGACACCTGCTCCATCCTAAGCACTTACGGTCTTCCTGGTCTATTGGGGTGGCTGGCACAGTTCCTGCTGTTGAAGGACTTTGATGATCACACAACGTAATTATGCTCAGACATGTGATACACCCACATAAACAAAAGGGGACAACACCCTATGAAGCTTACCTTTTTATTTTGTACTCAGGGCAATTCGCTTTGCAGTGTTTCACATTACTAGTCTCTTCATCACCTTGAGTCTTAGCCTATCCGCTGGAATAATAACAGGTATTGAAGCAACATTAATATCATGTTTTGATCATTTAATTGGGAAAGACTTTTTCACATTGTATTGCAATGCATGAAGTTGAGTAACTTAATCAGCAGTCACAATGTGATATTTTGTTTTTGAAGGGATTCTACTCAAATGGAAGTTCTGGAAACCACCTCAGGACAGAAAATGTTTTGATGATCAGGCATTCTGGGAGGTAAGTGTCAAAGTAGTAATTTATTTGATGTTTAATGTCATATAATAGTGCATGTCATATTTTCTCTTTATTTCTTTGCAGTTTCCCCACCTTGTTGTAAAAAAGTAAAATGGACTTAAGGTGGCTACATGTGTGCTTTTTGTGGTCACATTAAATAACCAAACTGCTCCTGTAATGTCATTTATTATAGTAAAAAAAACAACAACAAATGAATAGATGGATATTCTAGTCAAAAGTAGACAAACAATTCTTTACATTGTTTTAATTCCCTGTTGCCCCTATATGCTTTAGAATGTTAGTGTTATTTTAGGAGATAAATTCAACTTAGCATACATGTTAGAAAATAATGATTTTACATTTTGCACTGTAATAAAAATATTTCCCCAAAGACACATGAGAGTATTCAATAGCATGAATGTTTTATGCAAATATAAACGCAGGGCATGTCAGTTTGGGAACACAACTACATCTGAAAATATTACATACAGAAGAAAATATAAATAATACACAGTGAGAGAGCAATGCTGAATAAATGTGAATTAGATCTAAAGCATGTCGCACACAACTTAACATTCAGATCTTTCGTATGTTACTGCCACAGGTCTTCTGTGCGTCCAAATTTGAAGACCAAACCCCTACAAAACAATTACATTAATAATAACAATTAAGCCATTAGCTATAGGGAATAAATGTGTCATAAAAGATATATCTCTTTACTTACCCAAAGAAAATGAAAGCATTTTGAAAGAATATGGCAATGCCAGGGTAGACAATAGGCTTTTCTGCAATAGAAGGAGCGTACAGTTAGTGAACATTATACACAATGCAGTTTATAAGTGTAAAATCCCTCAATCATCCAGGCAAAGGAAAAATTCAAATCTGTCAACTGTACAGAAGTTTAATTTGGCTGAATACTTATCGCAGCTCATCCAAGCTGCTATTTCAGTTCTGTTCAGAATGCTGGTGGTCACTGCCTTATGCCTGCCTGTAGGGAGGAGCTAACTACACTCAAAACTGCTCATCATCATCATCATAAGTCAGTAAAATAGCACAGAAACTATACACACAACTGTTTTGAAATACTGTATTGTTATTGTTATGTTATTAATTTGTCTTTGGGAACTCTTCAAATTCATCAATATCTCTTTTTGTTTTTAAGTAGTATACTTTTAAGCAGTGAGAATAATGAAAAGGTGAACTATTGAAAACATAATGAAAAAAATGGGACTCACGGGGCACTACAAATCCTCCAAACAGAATCCACATGGAGGCAATGAGTGAACCAAAAGCCAACATGAAGCCAATGAAGAGCCACACACGAGCACCTGTAGACAAGACAAGTTAGGGCAGGCATGCAAAGAAACATATTGAGACCTTCCAGCAGTATTACACAAAGGAACAGATGAGTAGTAGTGTACACACCTGTCTGTCCTATGCAACCATCACTATAACTGTCACCTCTCACTTGGCCATTAGAAACAGCATTGATCCTGTGGAAAAAAAAAAGGGTCAATATTGCATAATTATTCCAAACAATTGAACAACAGATGTAGCAGAAATTAAACCTGTACTTCACCAAGGCTTTACATAGGTATGTTTTGGGGGCAGACAATGTAATATAAATAACTGGACTCACATTAGAAAGGCCACTGTAGCTATGACTCCACATGTGTGATAAGCATGGTGAAAGTCCCCCTCATTTGGATACTTTACAGCTGCATCAATTATGATCCACCAACCTGTGAAAAACTGCAACAGGAATATGGTTTTATGGCATCTACGTTTATAGAGTTTATCTTATTAACATCAAAAGGCATGACAACTCAGATATCATTCTTACCAAGACGCCAGCACCTACAGATGCGATGGTGTTCCGTCTTTCACCCCAGTCCACGTTGCATTCACAGTCCCCGCAGCGGATCCCATCCAAGAATCCGGACATGTTTCTATTGAAATACATACAGTATATCGTGTCAAGCTAGCATGTCAAAGTAAACAGATAGGGCCATTTGCTTTTTACTTTTTTGTTAAATACAAGGATTCGTTTTCGTGGCAACTTCAAAGACCCGGAATAAATACGCAGCTCTTGTTGTGATTGATGATGCTCACAGTAACATAACTAACGATTAGTCACTTATTTTCTGTTCGGCAATTGAGAAACGTGTACACAGGTAAAATCTTATAACAACATACATCGATCTACAAAAATGAAACCATGTTTCTGCACATAATATCGAGCATATTACTCTCTATGTCTTTGATTTCTTTGTTCTTTTGCGTTGGTACTAGCAAACATTTCCTTAAGCTTCCTTCTTGTTAAGTAATGGCGTTCAAGTATGCTTAACTAAAACGACAGCCAAACTAACACAGAGAACCATACTTCTCATACCATATACTTTAGATTGTAGCGTTAACAGATAAATACATACCTTTTATCCTTGTCTTTTCTTTTATCTGGACCCCTTGGTAAATACCGATTTTCCTTCCGAAAAGAGCTCAGTCATGCGCATGCGCAATGCAGCCACACCAAGCCTACAAACCTGTTGATACTGGGCACATCCGATTTATGTTGACGTGTGTCCTCAAAGCCTAAAAGCCTCAAGGTATAAACTGTAAATCACCGCCATTTAGAAGATATAGCAAGTATGAAACTACATGTATCTCCCCTCTATGGTAGTTTCTTCTCAGTTTACAATACTGATAGCTAAGGTATCACGGAATTGAAACATCAAGGCGCCATTCGGTCATACATGGGACGTACCCATTGATGCCTTTAGGGGCATCGGACTTCAGAGAATTATTTATCTGCGCATCTCGCTCTTTTTGCTACATTTCTTGTCTCAGAAGTTAAGACTCCATTTGTTTTATATAGTATAAAAAGCTTACTTGTGTATAGCTGCTCAACAAACAATGCTGTTTGATGCGGCAGTGAGCACACATTTATACGTAATAAACGTATACACGTAATAAAAAATATAGTTTTTTGTTTTGTTTTTTTCTTCACAAAAATCCATACACCGATAACAATAACTGAATCCTTATTGGACATACACAGTGAAATTCATTTACAGAAGATAGAAGCCATTTGATCATCTGTTTCTTTATTTGCTTTGCTAAAAAAAAAAAAAAAAAAAAAAAAAACGACTTCTGAATTTCAGGCGTCAAATGCAAATCACATGATCAAACCTCATGTCTGACGTTAAGTCTTTTGTTTGGGTTGGTGAGGACTTGCTTATAAAACACACAGGAAGTCTCTGGGTAGTTGTTGGTCCATGATAATTTTTATTGGTGACTTATATTATTACGAGTGACTTAAGTATCTACTTGTTTCTCTCAAAGCCTACATAATAATCAAACACACATGCAAACCATGCAGTTAGTTATAAGAGCATAACAAAAACACATACAATTATATAATTCATAATTAAATGGGTAAACAAGTCAGTCAAATATAGTACTACCAGTGCCTAAAAAACTCCAAGCAACTGCAAACCAATATATATTGAAAGAATGATGACTCCAAGGTATCCAATATATCCATAGGCTCCATTCATTCTCTTTGCCGGATCTGGAATTTATAAAATAGTTACCAATAGTCATAGTAAATATTCAGTATGAATAATGACAGATTAGAGGGGTAACTGTATTTAAAACACCTCACTGGTACAATTCCAGGATACAGTCAAAAGAGGAATATCTCATTTGTGGAAGCACTCATACCTCCAGTGTAGTAACCCCAGGCATAGGAAAATCTGCTGGTGACCCAAATGGCTCCAAGAACTGATGTTGCTAACTAGAATAACATAAGTAAATTACACCAAATTAAAATGACCCATACACACACACAACGTAACAGTGACTCAGCATTTGACCTTAAAACTGAGCTATGAAACATGGCCCCTCCTACTTTATGATGTAGATAAAGTACTGGGCTAGTGCATTTTTTAAATAATATCTAAAACTACCATAACTGTCCACTTGCAAACAAAAATATAATGATAATAATGAGACTAATGAGGAGAAAAAAGGGCTCAAACCCTTGTCTGGTGATACAAGAGAGATAGTAACCTCATATGCTAAGGACACATCATAGTCTTGCGAAAACGAATATAGGGATACAACAACACTCTAGACTGAATAGATAGATATGGATGTGCCCTAATACACTGTGAATACTAGTAAAACTATAAAGATATAGACAACCACCATTATTATACTCTTGCAGCATCACTAAAGATACAAAAACACTGGTGGGATAACACTAATAGCACCCACAACAGAAGGAAAATAAAACACAAAACAGGGATAGATAGAGAGAACCACAAGTGACAACAAAAGAAACCCAATGGCAATTAATTGGACCAAGGAATCATACATGACGTTTCACTCACTACTAACACACACACTACCTGTACAAGAAAAAATAAGCTACATTAACTTATGCGTGGCAAGCCCAAACCTTGGATAAACATAGAAAAATTAAAAGACAGCATTATTACACAGCTTTCTGTAGGAAAAGGTAAAAGATAAACTAAATGACAAATAAGAACTTTAAAAATGATCAGCCCAATGAAAAGACGCAGCGTGTTATCGGTGTGACGGAACTAACAAGCAACTTTTCAATGCAATCACACAAGGTGGTTTTTAGCAGAGCATTTCTGGGTGTTGCTCTTAGGAGGTGTAGACAGACTAATAATTGCAGATGTTCATATACAACACACTAGCCGGGCAATGCAACAACACACAAAGTTCGCGGTGGTCTGTCTGTGGATGCAGGAGAGAGGAAAACAGGGACCCGCAGTGAGGTGGTGTTTCCACCTTGTGCTGATTATGAAACATACCAAGAGTGTCACGCCGGTCTATAGGCAGCGCTCAGCGATGTCTATGGTTTATCCGATAACGCTTGCGACTTAACGGAGGAGAGTGTGGGGAGTAATCAGATTACATGATACCAGCAGATACAGGTCAGACGTAAAAGGATTAGAAGTGGAGTACATGTAATGTTCACAGGAGGTATGGTCGGAGTTTTAAAAATGTTATTTCACTGAGTTATTAGTAGTTGGATTAACGCGAGTTACTTGCGATGGTGTTATTGAAATGACAAACTGGAGCACTTACATTGGCGGTACTTTATTCATGTTTTCATCATATTGTGGCTAATTATGATATTAATCCCTTT